TTATGCAAATAAAACAATTTTCAAACATCGAAGAATATGTAAAATGTTTACTGCAAATATTTGTGCTCATTATATTTAATCAATAAATTATATGCATTCATTTCTTATTGGAAAATTTGACTAAATAAATGTCTAATTACCTCCCTTTGTTTATATGAAAGTTTAAATTCGGTATTATCTTGATAAATAATGCTTATTGGAACTTACAATATTGACAAATCTTAATTTGAGCATCATATTCACGAAATAAAAACATAAAAAAAATGTGTTACTGGATCTTTAAGGCATCCTTTAGTGTTGTAGTTTTTCTGCAGAGTTGGCCATAGTGCCTTCAGTATAGTTTTAAGATCAATAATTATATGTATACCTTTACTTTAATGATCGACCTTCATGTACGACTGAAATACTATATATTAGAATAATATAAATGAACATTCCATTGTTACAGTACATAAAATCCATTTTTTTCTTTTTGCATTCTTTGGAATACCTTTTTTTCTAAACAGGTTGCTGTCGGGAAAAAACACAGTGTTATATAAAAAGCAAATTAAGTGGCATAAACTGCGATTGTGGAGACTCTGGGTATACAGGTGCGTGTTGCGAAACAGGTTAGTACATTTTATAATCGATCATTATTGAATATTTCCTCCATAGCTGAAGAGCATTAACATAACATTTAATATAAATACATGTAAAATGCTTATTAAAGTTCTTACAAAGATCATATTATTATATACTGTTTATATAAATACAAGATCTAAATGTACAATGTAAATGAGTAAAGAAAAGACATATTTATAATACAATGTATGTACAATTATTCATATATTTACTCATATTGAAAGTTAACTAATGCAATGAATCTGTGATATCTATCAACAATTGTCAACAATTGGAAAAAATGAATAAATGAATATTTTAAGCTACTTAGATGCATAGAATATCACATTCAAAATGAAATCTTGATTATTTTTTACGATATGTAATCAAGAGTATCAGAATTGACAAAATCACTCATGTGAAGGCAGAAATAAAATTTAAATCATTTAAGTTGTTTAAAGTTACAATAATTTCAATTTTGAGGAAAGATGATGAACAAGTTACTAACTTAGGGAAGAATAACTTTTATAATATATAAATGGCTGCAAAAACACTTAAGCAATTAACCTTAAGCAAAGCGATTAAGATGTGTTTAAGCTAGGTCAGTTTGATATTATTTGATAGCGCAATAGGGAAAACTATGTAAAGGAACGGAATTTTATTACATTTTAAAGAGGCAATATAACATACAATAGAAGGGGAATTTGTTATTGGTTTTAATTTTTAATTGATAAGCCTCGCCCTTTTCTAGCACAGACACTTGGGGTGTGGAGCTCAAAACGCCTTTAAAATCCAAATAAAATATTTTGTCTGTGTTTTCTAGCACATATCAGCCTTGTCTGATAAAATTGATATCAAAAGACAGTAATTCTGATTCATTATTTTTTATGTATAGATTGGCATTACAATAAATTTCCGACAATATATGGCAATAGGGCGACTGACTGGTAAAAATGAATTGTCCGAATTTCTTTTATGTTGGTTGTTTAATGTTACTCGGTTTTTAAAATTGAAGTTTCTCCGCATGTATATATATTTAAAAGATTTGATTTTAATTTCATTCTTCAAGATATAAATGACTGTTACAACAATTCCTGTCTTAATGACGGTACATGTATTGACGGAGTCAACAATTATACCTGTATATGCCCAGAAGGTTTCTCTGGAAGGAATTGTGAAACAGGTATCTTTGAATTCACAAAATACATGTACTACAGCAACATGTTATTAAGAGTTTGAATATCAAATAACAAAATGTTTTCTGACAGATAAGGAAACTTTAATTCTAAATTTGTTAATTTACACGATGGACATAGAATATCTATCATTTACTGTAACGTGAGCATTTTATAATCAATCTTTATTCTTTATTTCCTCCATAACTGAAGAGAATTAACAAAAATATTGAATATAAATAAAATGCTTATTAAAGTTCGTACAAAAATCATATTATTATATACTGTTTAAATAAATACAGAATCTAAATGTACAATGTAAATGAGTAAAGAAAAGACATATTTATTATATGTACAATTATTCATATATATTTATGTGTTAATTGAAAGTTAACTAATGCAATGAATCTGTGATATCTATCAACAATTGTCAACAATTGGAAAAATGAATAAATGAATATTTTAAGCTACTTAGATGCATAGAATATCACGTTCAAAATGAAATCTTGATTATTTTTTACGATATGTAATCAAGAGTTTCAGAATTGACAAAATCACTCATTTGAAGGCAGAAATAAAATTTAAATCATTTAAGTTGTTTAAAGTTACAATAATTTCAATTTTGAGGAAAGATGATGAACAAGTTACTAACTTAGGGAAGAATAACTTTTATAATATATAAATGGCTGCAAAAACACTTAAGCAATTAACCTTAAGCAAAGCGATTAAGATGTGTTTAAGCTAGGTCAGTTTGATATAATTTGATAGCGCAATAGGGAAAACTATGTAAAGGAACGGAAATTTATTACATTTCAAAGAGGCAATATAACATACGATAGATGGGGAATTTGTTATTGGTTTTAATTTTTAATTGATAAGCCTCGCCCTTTTCTAGCACAGACACTTGGGGTGTGGAACTCAAAACGCCTTTAAAATCCAAATAAAATATTTTGTCTGTGTTTTCTAGCACATATCAGCCTTGTCTGATAAAATTGATATCAAAAGACAGTAATTCTGATTCATTATTTTTTATTTATAGATTGGCATTACAATAAATTTCCGACAATATATGGCAATAGGGCGACTGACTGGTAAAAATGAATTGTCCGAATTTCTTTTATGTTGGTTGTTTAATGTTACTCGGTTTTTAAAATTGAAGTTTCTCCGCATGTATATATATTTAAAAGATTTGATTTTAATTTCATTCTTCAAGATATAAATGACTGTTACAACAATTCCTGTCTTAATGACGGTACATGTATTGACGGAGTCAACAATTATACCTGTATATGCCCAGAAGGATTCTCTGGAAGGAATTGTGAAACAGGTATCTTTGAATTCACAAAATACATGTACTACAGCAACATGTTATTAAGAGTTTGAATATCAAATAACAAAATGTTTTCTGACAGATAAGGAAACTTTAATTCTAAATTTGTTAATTTACACGATGGACATAGAATATCTATCATTTACTGTAACGTGAGCATTTTATAATCAATCTTTATTCTTTATTTCCTCCATAACTGAAGAGAATTAACAAAATATTGAATATAACACACTTATTAAAGTTCGTACAAAAGATCATATATACGGTTTATATAATACAAAATAAAAATGTACAATATAAATAAGTAAAGAAAATGCATATTTATAATATGAAGAAACATTCATATAATTTCTCATATTGAAAGATAACTAATGCATCTTTCAACAATTATCAATTGAAAAAATGAATAAATGAAAAATTGAAGCTACTCAGATGCTCAGATGCATAGAATATCACGTTCAAAGTGAAATCTTGACTAATTTTTACGATAATAATAAAATTATTAAGTGTTTCATATGTCTTTTAAAATGACTTTTGACAAATTTTGTATATGCGTATATACATGTATTTGATATCTGAAAACTGTGTCATTTCCACTATGTTATCAACTTTATGTTCTAATTATTTGTATTTTTTCATTTAAAAAAAAGCCTTAATACCACCACCAACATGCATGGCAAACAATGACTGTTTTAAGACAGCTTCAGGGTGTGAACAACCTGGAACTGGTGAGTTGTGTTTTAGTGCTGAATAATGCCTCATCCGATGGTGGGGGTGAACAGTAACTTGCATGTTCCGTTACAGTTCATGAACAGGCAAAAAAAACTGAGTCTGTTACATTTTTCTATTACATAAATGTCCTTTTGTGCGTTATTTAGGAATCATTTATTACTCTTTATTTTAAAACTTTGTGTAAAACAATGTCTAGCGGTCATCTACAAAAGTAAACAAAAGTTGAATTACTCTCTTGTTTACGTTTTAGTTATTTGAGCCGCGTCACGACAAAACCAACATTAAGGGTTTGCGACCAGAATGGATCCAAACCAGCCTGCGCATCCGCGCAGACTGATCAGGATCCATGCTGTTCGCTTACAAACCCTATTACAAGTAAAGAAACTGATAGCAAACAGCATGGATCCTGATAAGACTGCGCGGATGCGCAGGCTGGTCTGGATCCATGCTGGTCGCAAACCCATTATGTTGGTTTTGCCGTGACGCGGCTCATTTATTTTCAGAATACTAACAGTTTACTTATCTAGAACATAAGGGTATTGCGCGTGTCTATCCTTCTAAATGTATGTAATTATTCTGAAAATATTTCTATAAAACATGTTAAGTTATGATATAATAGAATACATAATACATAATACATAGGTCAACCCATTTTTTTTATTACAACATACCTTTAATATTTAATATGTTTAATATATACACAATAAGAAAAAAGGGTTAATTTTTACATTAAAAGGAAAATAATTTTCATTCACTATTATTTGTACGAAACTAAAATTCGTTTACAAGATATAATACTTCTCTTCTAGGCTGTTACATAGAGGAACAAGCTCAAGATGAAGTTATCTCGAATACATGGTCAAGAGGGTATTCGTTAATATCCTCTCCTTATTACACAGTTGAAAGGTGTCGAAATAGATGCTTAACCTTTAATCCTTGTGTTGCATATTCTTATAACCAAACAGCAAGAGAGTGCTACTCATATCGCACTTCACCTGCAGATGGGTTGGTTACACAATATTCAAATACTACGGACCTATACGTACTGAGGTGCCTAAGCTGTTAGAATGCTGCGGAAGATTATTGACTCTGAAAATGGACTTTGTATTGCTATTACTTTTATCTAATGAAACATGCTTGGAGCCAACGTTTAAAAATAAATGTATGGACAGTTTGTACATGAATTAAAAGAATTGCAAAACAAAACTGATGAATAAACTTATCCAGTAGCATTCACAAAAGTCTTCGTTAGCAGTTGTCTTATTCCAACTTATTCAAAGTACATTCAGTTGTATTTTTTTGCAATTGAAAATGTGTCATTATAGAATGCATACTTATCAATGATTGGTGGCAGTTTTTCATTATCCCTCATGTACAGACTCAATCAAACTGAGTCTGCATTTTTCATGTAATTTTGTTGCCATTAATGCTTCGAGGGATCACACTTTTTTCCAGAGATTCAAGAGCTGTCGAAATTTCACTGAATTCAGTAGCTTTGCCTTAAAGAGAATAAATTGTTGTTTTATTACGTTTTAAACAGCCTAGTTTATACCAGAGACTTGGAAATTATGAAAAGTCTTGAAATTGAATTATTTGTACGGTGTCCTGCAACGTAGATCTGAGAGATAATAATATGATGTTATGATACATGTCCATTGTTGAGTGCAAGCAGTGTATACAAAAATGGAGTCCTTGACATTTATAATCAACAGGATTTGATTTTGGCATTGTTTTCGAATTTGCCAGGGTTCATATGCGAAGTCACAAAAACTTGACGATAAAAAATCATTTCAAAGACAACTAGTCATCTAAATCCAGTATAGTAACCATGTCCAAGAAATCTTTCCTGGCCATTCGAAACTTAATCTTTATTAAGTGTAATGTGCTACGTTAGAATATATTCGAGAGTATACCGTCCACATTAACAATATTCGGTGGTTTTAACATTTATGTAATGCTGATATATGTAATACAAAGAGCACCGAAACACGAGGCTATCTGATTTGTACGAGGGGGCGTAGTCCTCGAGTATAAATCAGATTGCCGAGTGTTTTGGTGTTCTTTCTCTTTTGTATCATAGTCAAACATAAAAACACGTTCCCTGTTGTCACAAATTTAAACCCCGGGAAAAAGTTACCAATGAACGAGCATCTGAATATAATATTTCTGCCGCTTTCCCTTTCTCTGCCGTCACAATATGTAAACCCCAGTGAAAATGAGCAAATCAACGGGCATGATCTGGGGTGCGGGTAACTTATACCTGAACTCCAGTTACCGCACTGTGCATGTATATGTATACGATTTAACTCGATCTGGGGTGCGGGTAACTTATACCTGAACTCCAGTTACCGCACTGTGCATGTATATGTATACGATTTAACTCTGACACTTTTTCATTAAAAAGGTCCCCAAACTATGATACAACTATTGTTGTACTGCGCTTTATTGCATAGTGTGGTTTTATTCTCTTACATATGTCTTGTTTATAATGTCCGAGTCTTCAGCACTACAAATAATGGAGACTTCGGGGATTTGATCACAACAGCAGTCTATTATTTCAGACTTAAAATTGTTGTCTTTTACAGGAAAAGGCATGCTCGAAAAATAAGACATATAAAATTGACAAATTGACATGCGATACATATATATGAGCCATTATAACATAACTATTTGTTTTAAACATTTCGTGTCATGAAATGTCTATCTATGTTTATCTTTTATATAAAGGAGGATACAAAAAATTGTGAAAGAGCTATTTGACTGATAATGATGCAGATAGACGAAAATTATCCGTAAACGAGGAGACATTGGTGTGATTAGAATTTGACAGCAATGCATAATGCCGGAATTTAATTCAGCCTTGCCCATACAGATTATTTTCTTTGCTATTATTACATATCATTACTTACATATTAAGAAACAAGATAATATAATCATGACATGCATCGTGCATGTTGTTGTGGAGGTAATATTCCAAGACATGCCATACAGTAGTGAAAACATAGTATTATGTAAATACATTTTAAGACTAGTTATTTTCAACTTTCTGGGCTAATAAATGATTTTGATATTTGTTGAGTTAATGGGCCCCTAATTGAAAATTTATTATTTATACTGATACTCTATGTTATTTCAAATTACTATTTGACACTTCATTTTCAGCCATTATGCAAAGTAAAACAATTATATTTAAAAAATATATTTCGCTATGCGTCAATAAGTTAATATACTGCGGGTTTTTTGTTGTTGATTGTGTGTGTGTGTGTGTGTGTGTGTGTGTGTGTGTGTGTGTGTGTGTATGGTGTGTGTTGGTGTGTGTGTGCGTGATGGTGTGAGTGAGTGAGTGTGTGCGCGTGTGTGTGTGTGTATGTATGTGTGTTTATTTTAGAAGGCCTCATTGTAAATAAGATGTTGCAATCTGTATATGTCTTGATGTGTTACCTTCGTTAAATAAAGTTATTATTATTATTATTATTATTTGTAAAACTCCAGTATGACACGTAAAACTTACACTATCATTTGAGGAGGGCGAATTTCTTATGCCAACGCTAAAATGCAGTTACTTTTATGATGTTGAGCATGTACATATAGTAAATAAAAGGAAAATACACGTTTCACCCAATATCTTTTTTATTTGATGTTTATTAAAAAAAAAGAAGTTTAAAAGCATTTTATACACTCTTATACGTTCAATAATATTTTTTCTATTTTTAAGGAATACGCTTTGAATTTGATTGAAATTCACACTGCCGAAATATCAAAGGTCATGACCTTGAATTACGACGATCTGCCCGATGCATCACAGAACCGACATACCCTTAGAAAAGGAAAAGAATGTCTCTGTCAAAGAAAAGAACGATGTCTCTCATATGTCGAAAGAAGAAACATCATTTGACACTTCTTGTAATATGTTTATTTTGGCAAGAGTGTGTTCGAAAAGACAGAACCGGCAAATATGCTTATGAAGACGTTATAACACTTGTGAAATTAAAACATCGATTTCATTCAAATTTAGTTCATAGATAAGAAATTAAAAAACCCACAAGGAAACGGTCATGGTATATGTAAAAGTTGTTTTATTACAATGAGTGATATACAGTTATTATAATGGACCACCAATTCACGCCGTTGCAGCCCAGTGTTTTCTTGATAGATATAAGAATATATATTCACTTCTAATCATTCATTTGTCAGTGTATCAGATACCGTTGTAAAGTTAGTTACTTTAATATGCAATATCAAACAGCAACGCACGCCAAACTGATGCCTGATTCCGTTTAGATATGCACCTTTACAGAGCATATGAAGACATTTTCAGCATACCTTATTAAAAGACATCATGTACTTTAAATATAATTTATATCAGTTAAACAGATCTTTGACAACATTGTGTTTGTACATTTATTTGTATATAAAGCATTTGTAAAAGAATGTTGATTCGTTTTAAAGTCTAATCGGCGCTGTAAAGGTCATATGGTAACTTTTTTTCCAGCTTAATTAGTGGAGGTAGACCTCAGGTGCCCATCTGTGTGTTAATTTAATTAGATAGGGCTCACGATCAAATTATACTGGTTCCTTAAAATCCTTTTCTTTTTATTAATGCATCATCACCTCAACCATCCCAGTCATGTCGCTTTCCCGTGAGGAGTTTTCAGGTTTCCATTTTATCTTTTTATTGTTAAGAAATTCCATTTAATTTATGTGACATTATGCTTAGTCTTTTCATTGTCAAGTTGGGCTGAATTTTCTATATATTTTTAGCTCATCTGAGCATGCTCAGGGTGAGCTTTTAGGATCGATGATTGTCCGTCGTCCGTCGCCGTTGGTCAGTCGTCCGTTCACATTTAGTTGTTAACACTCTAGCGGTCGCATTTTTGCCTCAATCATCATCAAACTTGGTCAGGATGCTTATCTAGTTGATAGCAAATTAGTACGAATATGGGTCATCTCGGATGAGAAACTAGGTCACAAGAGCTAAACAAGAGGGCCATGATGGCCCTGAGGTCGCTTACCTGTATATAGGCCCCCCCCCACACCTCCGGGCTAATTTTTACCCAAGGGCTTTTATTTGTTTATTTGAACAGACTTGGTAGACACCCATAAGAAGATGTTTCATGCTAAACATCTAAGTCCTAGCTCATTGGGTTTTTTAAAAGAAGATTTTTAAAGTTTTTACTATACACATATAGTTAAAAACAATGACACCCCTGGGGCAGGGCCAGTTTTGACCCCCGGGCTTTTATTTGAACAAACTTTGTAGATATTTACTTAGAGATGTTTCATGCTTAATATCTAAACTCTAGCTATTTGGGTTTTTTCAAAGAAGATTTTTAAGTTTTTGCTATACACATATAAGGAAAATCAATGACCCCCCCCCCACCCCGGGCGGGGCCAGTTCTGACCCAGGGCTTTTATTTGAACATACTTGGTAGACACCCATTAGAACATGTTTCATGATAAATATGTTAGCTCTAGCTCTTTGAGTTCTTTAAAAGAAGATTTTTTAAGTTTTTACTATATGCATATAGGGAAAATCAATGACCCCCTGGGGCGGGGCCAATTTTGACCCCAGGGCTTTTATTTGAACAAACTTGGTAGACACTCATTAGAAGATGTTTCATGCTAAATATCTTAGCTCTAGCTCTTTGGGTTCTTTAAAAGAAGAAATTTTTAAGTTTTTTACTATATGCATATAGGGAAAATCTATGACCCCCTGGGGCGGGGTCAATTTTGACCCCAGGGCTTTTATTTGAACAAACTTGGTAGACATGCACTAGAAGATGTTTCATGCCAAATATCTAAGCTCTAGCTCTTAAGGTTCTTTAAAAGAAGATTTTTTAAGTTTTTACTATATGCATATAGGGAAAATCTATGACCCCCCGGGGTGGGCCAATTTTGACCACAGGGCTTTAATTTGAACAAACTTGGTAGACACTCACTAGAAGATGTTTCATGGCTTAATATCTTAGCTCTAGCTCTTTGGGTTCTTTAAAAGAAGATTTTTAAGTTTTTACTATATGCATATAAGGAAAATCAATGACCCCCTGGGGCGGGGCCAATTTTGACCCCAGGGCTTTTATTTGAACAAACTTGGTAGACACTCACTAGAAGATGTTTCATGCTAAATATCTTAGCTCTAGCTCTTTGGGTTCTTTAAAAGAAGAATTTTTAAGTTTTTACTATATGCATATAGGGAAAATCTATGACCCCCTGGGGCGGGGTCAATTTTGACCCCAGGGCTTTTATTTGAACAAACTTGGTAGACATGCACTAGAAGATGTTTCATGCCAAATATCTAAGCTCTAGCTCTTAAGGTTCTTTAAAAGAAGATTTTTTAAGTTTTTACTATATGCATATAGGGAAAATCGATGACCCCCCGGGGTGGGGCCAATTTTGACCACAGGGCTTTAATTTGAACAAACTTGGTAGACACTCACTAGAAGATGTTTCATGCTTAATATCTTAGCTCTAGCTCTTTGGGTTCTTTAAAAGAAGATTTTTAAGTTTTTACTATATGCATATAAGGAAAATCAATGACCCCCTGGGGCGGGGCCAATTTTGACCCCAGGGCTTTTATTTGAACAAACTTGGTAGACACTCACTAGAAGATGTTTCATGCTAAATATCTTAGCTCTAGCTCTTTGGGTTCTTTAAAAGAAGAATTTTTAAGTTTTTACTATATGCATATAGGGAAAATCAATGACCCCCTGGGGCGGGGCCAATTTTGACCCCAGGGCTTTTATTTGAACAAACTTGGTAGACACTCACTAGAAGATGTTTCATGCCAAATATCTAAGCTCTAGCTCTTAGGGTTGTTTAAAAGAAGATATTTAAAGATTTTTCTTTCGGTTGCCATGGCAACCAGAGTTCTGCATGGAATTAAATTCTTTGAACAATTTTTAAAGGTGACCACCAAAGGAACATTCCTGTGAAGTTTGGATGAAATTGGCTCAGTGGTTTATGAGGAGATGTCATTTAAAGCAAAAGTTTACGGACGGACGGACGACGGACGGACGGACGGACGCCGGACGAAAAGCGATCACAAAAGCTCACCCTGTCACTTTGTGACAGGTGAGCTAAAAATAGAAAAACCTTGTTAACACTCTAGAGGTCACATTTTTGCCTCAAACACCATCAAACTTGGTCAGGATGTTTGGCTAGGTGATAGCTCGGACGAGTTCGAACATGGGTTATCTCGGATGAAAAAATAGGTCACCGGAGCTAAAAATAGAAAAAACCTTGTTAACACTAGCAGTCACATGTTTGCATCAGTCACCATCAAACTTGGTCAAGATGCTTGTCTAGGTGAAAGCTCGGATGAGTTCGAACATGGGTCATATCGGTTGAAAAACTAGGTCACCGGAGCTAAAAATAGAAAAACCATGTTAACACTCTAGAGGTCACAATTTTGCCTCAATCATCATCAAACTTGATCACGATGTTTGCCTAGATTATAGCTCGGATGAATTCGAACATGGGTCATCTCGGATGAAAAAGTAGGTCATCGAAGCTAAAAATAGAAAAACCTTGTGTACACTCTAGCGGGTAACATTTTTGCACCAATCATCATCAAACTTGGTCAGAATGCTTATCTAGTTCATAGCTCAGATGAGTTCGAACATGGGTCATCTCGGTTGAAAAACTAGGTCACCGGAGCTAAAAATAGAAAAACCATGTTAACACTCTAGAGGTCACAATTTTGCCTCAATCATCATCAAACTTGATCAGGATGTTTGGCTAGATTATAGCTCGGATGAATTCGAACATGGGTCATCTCGGATGAAAAAGTAGGTCATCGAAGCTAAAAATAGAAAAACCTTGTGTACACTCTAGCGGTAACATTTTTGCACCAATCATCATCAAACTTGGTCAGAATGCTTATCTAGTTCATAGCTCGGATGACTTCGAACATGGGTTATCTCAGATGAAAAAGTAGGTCACAGGAGCTAAAAATAGAAAAACCTTGTTAACACTCTAGCAGTCACATTTTTGCATCAATCATCATCAAACTTATTCAAGATGCTTGTCTAGGTGAAAGCTCGGATGAGTTCGATCATGGGTCATCTCGGATGAAAAACTAGGTCACCGGAGCTAAAAAAAGAAAAACCATGTTAACACTCTAGATCTCACAATTTAGTCTCAATCATCATCAACCTTTGTCAGGATGTTTGGCTAGGTGATAGCTCAGATGAGTTAGAACATGGGTCATCTAGGATGAAAAAGTAGGCCATCGGAGCTAAAAATAGAAAAATCTTGTTAACACTCTAGCGGTCACATTTTTGCATCAATCATCATCAAACTTGATCAAGATGCTTGTCTAGGTGATAGCTCGGATGAGTTCGAACATGGGTCATCTCGGATGAAAAACTAGGTCACAGAGCTAAAAATAGAAAAACCTTATTAACACTCTAGTGGTCACAATTTTGACTCAACTGTCATCAAACTTGGTCAGGAAACTTGTCTAGGTCATTGCTGGGAATAAATCGAACATGGGTCATCTCAGATGAAAACCTAGGTCGCAGGACCTAAAAATAGAAAAATATTGTTAACACTCTAGTGGCTACTGTTGTGATCCAAATATTCTGTTAATTTGCCTGAAAGTTTGTTTTGATGATTTCTAAGTCAAGTTCGAACATGGGTCATCTTGGATGAAAAACTAGGTCACACCGCCCAAATATGGAAAAACCTTGTTAACATTCTAGTGGTCACATTTTCGACTCAATAATCATCAAACTTGGTCAGGATGCTTGTCTAGGTAATTGCTTGGATGAGTTTGAAATCAAATGTGAAACTAGGTCACCGGAGCTAAAAATAGAAAAAATCTTGTTAACACTCTAGTTGCTACTGTTTTGATCCAAGTATCCTGGAAATTGGTCTGAAAGTTTGTTTTGATGATTTCTAAGTCAAGTTTGAAGATGACTGTGTCACCTGGGTAAAAAACTAGGTTGCACTGCTCAAATATGGACACTGTAGTGGTCACATTTTTGACTCTCCCGTCATGAGACTTGGTCAGAATGCTTGTCCAGGTAATTGTTTGTATGAGTTTGATAAGTCAGGTGAGCGATCTAGGGCCATCATGGCCCTCTTGTTTAATAAAAATTAACTATTAAAATTGTGATTGACGAACTGTTGATGTTGGAAAATGTTTAGAATAAAATATATAGCTGCCTGAATTATAAAAAGACCGGCCCATTCTTTACATACATTGAACTTGACAATAATACTTAAAGAAAATACTTTATCTTAATTTGTTAAATACAATGTTACATTTTGTACAGCTTTGGTTGAATGCATATCTTTGCAAAAAATTTAAGCTATTGTCATTATACGCACTTTCCCCCGAAACTTTGGACATAAAATTAACGACTGAAGGCCATGGAGCAAGGAACTATAGGATACCGGTCTGGCGATCCTCAAGCATAAAATTAGAAACATTTAAAAACGTCAATGTTAGTAAGGGACACAGATGTTCCCAAAATAGGGGGGGGGGGAATCATAAATTGAAAACATTAAAGACAAACATGAACGATCACAGAAGAAAAATAGCCTTTTAGCAACACCCCTACTTCGGAGTTAAAAGTTAGTTAATTGGTAAAAGTAACACGCTAATTTCATTCAGTATTTATCTATAATTATTTCTTTTCTTATTGTACATGTATAAATGTTTAAATAATACACAATCAAATAATTATTATACCGAACACATTTTGAATGTTCGAATATGTTTTGTCTTGGAAATTGATAGAGATCAGAGTTGTGGAAAAAAGGTATGTTCAAGCCACCGGGCCACGAAAACACCAGCACTGATGTTGTATGAATTTCCCAAATTAGTTACGATGGCGTCAAAGATAACGGTTTGGTGGGCACTGGCATGTTGAAGATGGGCATTTCTCTTTGCAAAGAATGCAACGGGGGATTTTGCTGATGTCTGCGTATGCGGTTTGTTGAAGCATCTGAAACTAAAGCAAGCTACTTAATGTATATCAATAAATGAATAAATAAATAAAAAAATAAATAATAATACTATTTTTATTGTAACATCAACTTCATCGTAACTATGCCATTATATGTTATAATACTTTTATGTGTCGTGTTGTCACTAGAAACAGCACGATAAACCGCCAAACGGCGCGTTGTCGTGCGGCGCGTTGTCGCGATGTCACATTGTCGCTCAGCTTAAATCGAAGCTATTAGTATATGTCTAGCGACAGGGCAACATCGCAACAACGCGCCACAAGACAACGCGCCGTTTTAGCGTTCTTCGCTAGTGCAACAATGCACGGTTTGGCGCGTTTCGCTAGCGACAAGACAACAAGACGATATAGGTTGTGTTGTCGCTGTCGACAACGCAACGCGCAAAGTGTACTAAATCAGATACCATAGTTTTAGGATTTGTAAAAAAAGATCGTACCAATCAAATTATATTTAATGTAGTTTTAATTGACTCATTGCAATGTTTGTTGTCTTCTTCGTTTCATAACGTGTTTTATATTGATAAGAAGGCCACATTTTAAATTAGACATACGTTATTCGTTTTGTACAATGCTATGCCTGCATGAGCTACTTTCTTTAAATAAAGATTGTTGTTGTTATTTATCATATTATTATTATTAATATTATTATTATTATTATTATTATCAAACCGTATAAACCAGTAGTATACCTTTTTGCTTATTTGTTGCAGCTTTCTCGGCAACTGAAACAGGTATTTTTCCCCTTGTTTAGGTCTTTCTCTCTGTCACATATTGCTAATTTCTTAACGATTTTTTTCTAAGTTAATATGGCGGTATTTACTTTACCTTGTTCCTTATTAGTTGCAGCTTTCTCGTCAGTTTTGACTTGCTCTCTTTCACATACTGTTATCTTCTTAACAATCTTTTCCAAGTTAGAGCTCCTTTGGCGCTGTAAACGTAGTTCTTTCTCTAAGTAAAGCACTTTCTTTTGCCGATGCTTATCTTGAGATTTCAAGAGGTTCACTTCATGAAGAAGTTCCTGAACAAGACTTTCAGTGGCGCTAAGTCTTTTTGGCATATCATCTTCATTATCTGAAACAAGGACATTAACAATTAAACGGTTAAAATATTGCTGTCACGATTGTGTATTCAATTAAAGTGAGAATATGACAAAGAATAAGCACGAAAGTTATACTTTTCATTCTTATGTGATCGAAAAATGATCATTTAATGATCAATATTTCAACTTACCTGACACAGCATTAGCTACTGAACAGACGATAGCAAGTATGACTAATAAAACTTCTTTCATCTTTCTGTATCAAAGTTTTAACTAATTGTCTAAGTCACTGTGGTCTTTTATTAAAGAAAAGGTCAAAGATAAGGACTATTCGCAACCTTAAAAAGAAATCCCCCGAGGTCCAAAAATCTACAATCATAAAATTAAATAATCTTCCATTGATAAACTGGGCCACTAAAAAGGAAATTAAAAAACATGTTTATGAATGATATTCGGAATTAAAATTGAAAATGGATATATAGAGAAAAGCGTTTAATTGCTTTTCAGTTTTAGCTATTTTTAAATGAAAATAATTATTCTGATTATTTCGTTATAGACTTACATTAAATGCAAGATATAAAAAACCTCGAAATATTATTTCCAATCCCATCTTGTCATAAAATCTCAGTTGAGTCCTTTCTAAGGTCAAAGTAATTACAAATTGACACATCGTAGAATACATGTACAAGTAATTATTTATTTCAGTTGAGTGATGTTTAAATGCGCTTTTTTGACCAATTGTTTAACTATTACTAGGTCTAACTAGGTTTAGACAGAGACAGTATGTATGCTTGAGTAATGTCGTCAAAGCGGTACTCTACAATAAAACACCATGGAAAAGAAAAAGAAAACGTTAATCGACCGATAGGCTGACTGTCTTCCTGAAGTGAGATGCTAATGTAAGTGTATCAGCAGTCGGTACTACATAAAACATAGGGCTTTACTCATATTAGGGCGTGTCAAAGATAATTCTTTTTAATATATACCACCATGTCGAAGTTCACATATATTGGTATAGTCTTACGTCATTCATAAATAACATGCTAAATGCCTTATTGCAAGTGTTTTAATTTGGTATCAAATATAGCAATTAAATTAAAATTACAATTTCGATGAAATATTTCCATAATTTATGATAGCATAGCACTGTTTCATTGTGTATGACTGTTCAATACATAGCGAAGAAGATGTGTTTACAAACGGCTGGACAGGTCAGTCGGTAGAGCCGCGGAACGTTACATTTTTCTCGCCCTGTGACACTTGCCGCCCAACGGGGGACCATGACTTCTTATTGTTTAGAGTTTAATTCACACCCTACTGTAACTCTAAAGCATTCGGGGATGAATTTCAATAAAGCAGGGGGAGAATATCACGCTTCAGAACTGTTCTCTATATAGAAAAGAATATGTTTAAGCGGCTTTGAAATATTTTGGTAAGCGGATTGCTCAGTGTCCCGGGTTCCCAGTCAGGCTGCATATTTTTGTCACACTATGACACTTATTTAATGAAGTTTACAATATGCCACGTTTATTTGTTTTTGATTGCGTCCTAAACTGACTGAACCTCAACATTGCACAAAGAAACTATGATTGTAGGTTATATACATCTACAATTACTAATTACATTGTAGTTTACTAAGTCCATTAAGTCTGTGAATATTGCAATCTCATACATTTTTCTTATCTTTGATCTTTCTTTTATATTTGACACTAGTTAAGAGAGATATAGATACAGACAATTACTTTTAAACGTAGGGACAGATGAAGAAGATGAAGGCAATTTTGTTAGTGATATTTGCTATCGTCTGTTCAGTGACAGCAACTTCAAAAGGTCAGTGAGCTTTTTTTTATTACACATGGATGAAAAGAAGAAAATGCATGCTTACTGTTGTTTTACCTTTTATTCAATAACTCGTATATCATCCGTCTTTTAACAGTAAATTATATGAGCTGCGACACGACAAAACCAACGTTATGCGTTTGCGACCAGCATGGATCCAGACCAGCCTGTGCATTCGCGCAGTCTGATCAGGATCCATGCTGTTCGCTATCAGTTTCCTTTCTTGTCATAGGGTTTGTATTTTATATCCTTGAAGATCGTTCAGCACGACATTATTGTTGTGCTTGTGGTATTTTTAGTTTCAAGTTTTCGGCATTTTCTAGTTGGGTGGTTCCAATATTCCTACTTGAATAATGTTGAATCACCCTTAGGACATGTTGCCTGCTTTTTAAATTTGTCTTTTGACGTCTTATCTGTGATACGCAGGCTTCATAACCTCTGATCCCCTTTCAAAATTCCATTTTATTTAGTTCTGCCCATTGTTTTCTCGTTTATGGCACACGCTTTTTATTACTTGGGGACCATACGCCGCTTTTCATGGAATGGCGCGTAAGTGTCACATTGAAGGTTCCATGATAACCGCCGTATGAACACATCTGCGGATGTTTCTAAATGCAAAATTATACTATTTCATGTTTAAATGTTGAATTCTGCTTAAGCCGGTGCTAGGGGGCGTGGACGGTAACTTGCACTTTCCAGTACCGTCCATGAACAGGCTCAATCAAACCGAGCCTGCAACATTTTCAATTTTGCCGTGTTGGGCTTTCTTTAGGGATTCTGTATTTATCTATTTTATGATCACATCCGTGTTATTTGTGCCGTGTGGCGGCTGTAGAAAGTCTCCCCGTACATTTAATCAATGATGTTATATTTTCGATCCTTGAAGATCGTTCAGCACGACATTATTGTTGTGCTTGTAGTATTTTTAGTATCAACTTTTCGGCATTTTCTAGTTGGGTGGTTCCAATATTCCTACTTGAATAATGTTGAATCACCCTTAGGATATGTTGCCTGCTTTTTAAATTTGTCTTTTGACGTCTTACCTGTGATACGCAGGCTTCATAACCTCTGATCCCCTTTCAAAATTCCATTTTATTTAGTTCTGCCCATTGTTTTCTCGTTTAGGGCACACGCTTTTTATTACTTGGGGACCATACGCCGCTTTTCATGGAATGGCGCGTAAGTGTCACATTGAAGGTTCCATGATAACCGCCGTATGAACACATCTGCGGATGTTTCTAAATGCAAAATTATACTATTTCATGTTTAAATGTTGAATTCTGCTTAAGCCGGTGCTAGGGGGCGTGGACGGTAACTTGCACTTTCCAGTACCGTCCATGAACAGGCTCAATCAAACCGAGCCTGCAACATTTTCAATTTTGCCGTGTTGGGCTTTCTTTAGGGATTCTGTATTTATCTATTTTATGATCACATCCGTGTTATTTGTGCCGTGTGGCGGCTATAGAAAGTCTCCCCGTACATTTAATCAATGATGTTATATTTTCGATCCTTGAAGATCGTTCAGCACGACATTATTGTTGTGCTTGTAGTATTTTTAGTATCAACTTTTCGGCATTTTCTAGTTGGGTGGTTCCAATATTCCTACTTGAATAATGTTGAATCACCCTTAGGATATGTTGCCTGCTTTTTTTAAATTTGTCTTTTGACGTCTTACCTGTTGATACGCAGGCTTCATAACCTCTGATCCCCTTTCAAAATTCCATTTTATTTAGTTCTGCCCATTGTTTTCTCGTTTAGGGCACACGCTTTTTATTACTTGGGGACCATACGCCGCTTTTCATGGAATGGCGCGTTAGTGTCACATTGAAGGTTCCATGATAACCGCCGTATGAACACATCTGCGGATGTTTCTAAATGCAAAATTATACTATTTCATGTTTAAATGTTGAATTCTGCTTAAGCCGGTGCTAGGGGGCGTGGACGGTAACTTGCACTTTCCAGTACCGTCCATGAACAGGCTCAATCAAACCGAGCCTGCAACATTTTCAATTTTGCCGTGTTGGGCTTTCTTTAGGGATTCTGTATTTATCTATTTCATAACCTCCGATCCCCTTTCAAAATTCCATTTTAATTAGTTCCGCCCATTGTTTTCTCGTTTAGGGCACACGCATTTTATTACTTGGGGACCATACGGCCGCTTTTTTCATTGGAATGACGAAGTGTCATATTGAAGTTTCCATGATAACGCCGTAATGAACACAATCTGCGGGATGTTTCTAAATTCAAATTTTACTTATTTTCACGTTTAAATGTACTTCTGCTTAAGCCGGTGCCTAGGGGCGTGGACGTAACTTGCACTTTCCCGTACCGCCATGAAACAGGCTCAATCAAACGGAGCCTGCAACATTTTCAATTTTGCCGTGATTGGGCTTTCTTTGGGATTCTGTATTCATCTTATTATATTTTGTAAAGCGAATAATGGATCCTTGATCAGACTGCGCAGATGCGCAGCTGGCTGATCCATGGCTGTCGCAACGTTTTGGCTGTTGAGCGGCTGATATTTTTCTTACATGAAACTTATCATACCAGGAGATTGACACACGTTAATCATTATAACCTTAAGTTAAAGTAAATTAGGTCGAATAAGCGAAGGTTTAATAGTATTTATTTGTTATGTTGGTTTTTAAGTTAGTTTGTTATTCATTAAACATCTTATTAAAACGTTTTAAGTTCCATGAGATATTGTCTTTGATTGATTGATATCATCGTGTATAACACTTGCAAACTTCTTTGTTCCGTTTTCATGAAGTATGTCTGTTCTGTATTGTTCTATTTGGCTGTGAAGTATTTTGTTGTCTGTATTTATTAACATATTTGCTGTAATGTTAAATCCTTGTTGTCTTTTCTGTTGTTGTCTGCCTGAAATGTTATTGCGTATTCCGTTAGTTATGTTATCGGACCTCGATTTCTATTTAACGTGTCTTGTTGTCTAATTTATTTTTCTTTTGTCTGTTCCGTCTTGTCCCTTTGTTTGTTCAGGTATGTATCTTGTTTCCTGATGTACCAAGTATATTCTTGTTCTCATTCTGCTTATTAACTTGTTTTCAGCCAACAGATAATTGTTTCCGCTTTAATTTTGTGTCTGTTCCGTAATATCTTTTTATCCGTCTTCGTCATTTTATATAGGGATATCCAACTCTTACTTTGTAGGTAGATCCTGATGTGTCTCGTTATGTCTTTCATTATATTTTCCATTATTAATTTTTCTGTTTCTTTTTTCTGCGTGCTTTATAGTAATTTGTCTGATTGTCTGTTCCGTTGAAGTGTCTTCTCATTTACTGTTCCGTTTGTGCTACCCCGTGTCCTGTGGACTACTCCATTTGTTTCTTAAATTTTCCTTTTGCATGGTAGATCAATCTACTGTAAAGGAATTTATTTTGAGTCCTTGAAAACAGTTATTTAAACAATGAGTTCTGCATAACATAGCTGTATAAGGTTTCAATAAAAAAAATGATGAA